TGACGACAAGTTTGTGACAGATCATCACTGCGATAGTGCAGCATCTCTCTTTTCTTGGTTCTTTTCAAGTAAAATAATTAAAGAGTAGGCCTATGTATTCAGTATAGATATATTTCTTCTTTGTAAAGGAATTTTAAAATTTAAAGCAAGAGTCAGCATCACACTGAACTATAATGCTATAATATTTAATTTAATTGAGAGGCATCACCTTCAACAATACAAGTTAGTGTGGTGCAGCATCTCTCATGGTTCTTTTCAAGTCGAATAATTAAAGCTAAAAAGTATGTAAGATCGATTATTTTCTGCTTTGTAAATGAATCAAGAAATTTAAAGCAGGTGTTAGCATCAATATAAATTGTAGTAGTAGTAGCCCTAGTCTATTATTCAATTCCATTGAGAGAGGCATTACCTTCAGCAATACTGGACTGGTCAGCATCATTTTGTTGTTGGATCTGCTTCACTGGGAGCATGATAGGACAGCAATTGCACCTAAGAGATCAATGAAAATAGTATGTACAATGAAATAAAACTGAAGAGATCAACAAGAATTTATCTGTGTAGTCTGCACTGGATCATCTCCACACGTCTAGAAAAATACTGTTTACAGAGATACACAACTGGCCCTGGATTTATTTAGTCTTAAATCTAGGCACAGTCAACAATGTGTCTGGTGACTTGGTGTATAAAGTTTAAAACAACACACTATAATGTCATCTAGATCTAGATTTCAACACACACTGCAGTGAGACTTGCTTCATCATACAGATAGGTAAGTGACAGGGATCTAAACAACAGCCGCAGGTTCGAGTAACTTTCATCAAGAGTCTTAAGTTAAGTGTCATAGGAGTCAAGATCTAGAAGAGTAATAAGTCTAGATCTAGTCAAGTGTCTAGTTAGTCTAGTCTAGTCTAGTACAATCTTGATCTAAGTCTATAATCTAATAACGTTGACAGACTTGGTCTCGTTCCAAGAGATAAGCTACCATATATAGTGATAGATCTAGTAGATCTAGATTCGATCTAGATCTAGATCTAGATTAGATCTAGCTAAACCAATTCTAATACACTGCTAGAGGCTAGAGGCTAGAGGTAGGATAGAATCTAAAAGAATACGCAGTTCTTTAATCTAGCTGATAATTATAAGTTATAGGGACTAGTATAGAAGCTGGGACTGCGGGTATGGTAAACCTTGCTTACCTTCTGATGATGTTATGCCAATTGGTTGAACAGGAACCAGGACTTCTTCTTCATGAAGTTCCAGATTCCAGATCTTGGTCATGAGCAGGGGGGTGTGGGTGTGTGTGGGTGTGTCACGGCCACGGTCGTCGTCGTAATTGGTTCATCATGTGTCTCCTCCTCCAAACTAGAATCTACTGTCTTCACAATCAATAGGTCTTGCATTGAAATAATCAATAATCAGTTCATCCAATTCATTTTCGTCTGTGATT